AAAATGCTGTTGTATTATTACTTTAGTGAAATTTAATCTGGATTACATTTTCCTCTAAGCTATGTAATCAATTAATACTGTAACAATGTACCAATTTATAAAAACAGCAGGGCGCAGAAATGTAAATATATGAAACAAAGAGTCAGCGTCCTCTCCTCTCCTCCAGGTTCATTTATTATTAATGGTTTGTTAAATCTCATTTTCTCTTTCTCTCTGACAAGATCTTGTAATGTTCTAAGAGGTGTTATATGTTTTGTCTTGTTAAACCCTTGTTAGTGCAGTGTTAGTGATGAATGATGTGTCAATCGGAATCAGTGAAGGGCAGAAGTGAAGGGACCTGATGTTGTCAACCCACAAGGCCAACACCATGAATTTGGTCATTCTCCCCTGATTACCACACATACCACCAACCCTTCAGAACAACCTTGAATCTGAAATAAATTAAAGTGGGTGCGACACTGTAAACTTGTGCAGAGCCAGCTGTAGTTTTAAAGGGGATTCAGTAGGTAGAGCTACACAGGCCAACTCCTCAATTATGTGGTCTAGTGTAGATCATGCTTTATATCAGTGCATTACTGTTAGATAGCAATCCACCTTTTCATACACAACTAAATGAAAGTCTTCTTTCAACTCCTAGGGGAAATGATTGACACAAAACAGAGGATTTAAATCATCTTACAGACAAGTCCCAGACAGCTTTCAACTCTGTACAACTAAAATCCATCTATCTGTACCAGAGGTGGTGCAAACAAGGTTACTGAGTATATCAATATGACATTTCAAAATGTAGCTTTAAAAACAGAAATGTAGCTTTGAAATGGCAAAGGCTAACAAATTGTTTGAAGAATGCAACCCTGCCAAAAATCATAACAGAAACCAAAAAAATTAATTAGACCTTATGCAGAAAAAAGAAAAAATATATTTAAAATTAGAATGAGATTGCGGATACAAGCGGCAGAAATGGACTGGCCTCTCCCTTAGAGGTAGGGTGACAAGGTTGGCCATCTGGGAGGGGCTCAGAGTAGAGCCGCTGCGCCTCCACATCAAAAGGAGCCAGTTGAGGTGGTTCAGGCATCTGACAAGGATGCCTCCTGGGCACCTCCTGGATGAGGTGTTCCGGGCATGTCCCACATGGAGGAGGCCCCGGGGCGGACCCAGGACACGCTGGAGAGATTATATCTCTCGACTGGCCTTGGAACGCCTTGGTGTTCCCCCGGACAAGCTGGAGGAGGTGGCTGGGGAGAGGGAGGTGTGGGCTTCTCTGCTTAGGCTGCTGCCCCTACGACCCGGCCCCAAATAAGCAAAAAAATATGGATGGATATTTAAAATTACTAAAAGCACAGTTTAGTCTAAAAGGAAAAAAAATAAATCCACCCACAAAAAGATTTTTTGTCAAATGTGAACAATGTCAACACAAAATTAGAAAAAAAGGAAAGAAAAATCTCTCCAAACGAACCGAAAATCAAATCCCCTTTCACGCTATTCACACTAGTATTGAAGTATAACAATAAGTCATGCAGGTCTGTCTACTGATGAAACTGATGCTAAATTACTTTAAAAATGCTTAAGAATGAATAGTGAAGACACCACAAACTGTAGCTCTATAAGCATCTCCTGCAGTTTTATTTTTTCAGCTTTTTATCCTTTTTATCCCATCTGCGATTATATAATCAACTAAGCGTACTCAGTATGCAGGTAGCAACCTCAGGGCTGTCCTAAGGTGACATCTGCAGAAGAGACATCATATTAGAACGAGATTCATTAATCTATTCACGCGTGTTCTCCACACTTACGCCTCTACAATACTAAACGTGTTCATTATCCCAATTAACTGTAACAGAATAACCACTCTGAGTGCATAGTGCTAAATATGTGACATTAATTCAGTAACAGAAAATGCCAGAAGCATTATGAGAGCTTGCCCAGATGATATAATATTGACTGATTTTCTAACAAAGAAACATTTACAGTATGTATACGAACTGCTTTATTCTATCTTTTTAAAATTAGAACAAAAATAACTAAGAATAAGAAACTGATGAAAAGATCATTTTCCAATTTCTTATCGTTTTTCTTTCTTGAGGTAACCATGGTTTTGAACTGAACTCACTGACACTGAGGATACTGCAGCATGAGGACAGAGAAGCAAGGTTACAACAGTCCAAATAAGGATGCTCGTTATATATTGACTGTGACAGAAATTACAGTTAGATGTACTAAATGCATACATAGCATAACTATGTTGTTTCATTATCCCAATAATGCATACAGTATTTCTAGACTGAAGCCTACCCCACTTCCTTTGCCACAGTTGTTCCAGAAAAATCCTTCTTTATGTAGAGTGAGTATTAATCTGACTTTTTAGTATTAGTGTGCACCTTGTTAGCTAGATCTACCACTTACTGTTTCTCACTGACTATCGCAACACGTATTGCCAGAGAGGGGCAGACTGCGCGCAGGCAAAATGCAGTAAATCAGACCGCTGTAATCCTGAAGTGAGACTAATCGAACTTCTAACCTTTAATGGTCACATTCTTCTTCACAAAAGGAGATCAGGCCAGACTGACCTGTCTTTGTAGAGATATCACTCACAGATAAATCACTGGCTGTTCTGTTTTGGCTAAAATTCAGGAGCTAGTAGTTTGGTTGCCATGGATACCAGTTCAGGTGTTTGGGGGCTCTACTGTCTGTTGGTGCTTTGTACACCATGGTCTGATGGCTTCTGGGTCTGTTTGTATGAGTCCCTGTGAATGTATATAAAATATATATAAAATATTGATGCTGTCTGTGAGCAGAATTTATTTTTTTTCTTTTCATGGAGCATTTATTTCTGTAATCATATTTTCCTCTTCTCTTCTCTTCTCTTCTCTTCTCTTCTCTTCTCTTCTCTTCTCTTCTCTTCTCTTCTCTTCTCTTCTCTTCTCATTTCCCCCCCTGCCCTCCTTTGCCATCACCACCTCTCTTCTTCTTCTTCTTCTTCTTCTTCTTCTTCTTCTTCTTCTTCTTCTTCTTCTTCTTCTTCTTCTTCTTCTTCTTCTTCTTCTTCTTCCTATTCCCCATAGATATATACAGAGTGTAGTAGGCCAGACTTGGCCAGTCCAATTTGGCCCAGAAGCCCACTTGTCAGCCTGTGCTATGTGTACCCAGGCTGAAAGACTGATGGCACCAGGAGACAAAGAGAAACAGAGATAGAGAGGAAGGATCAGGGACATAGAGTACTGGTATAGAACACTCCTATAAAGATCCTGGGAGAATTTATAGTTGTCAAAGGTTCACACACATGATATAAAATTTCAGTAAACCACAAAAAGAGGACAGCCTGATATCTGTATGGGTCTGAGTCATGCTCTGTGCGCTAATCAGTGAATCACGGCCAGTGAGAGCTGACCAGCAGTTCACGGTGAGGTAAGCCTGGAGAAGATTAGTCTGGCTGTCCTCCTCCAGCATTCTTTGATTTTATTTGCACTGTGATGAAATCTGCTTTGTAATTCAAACTTGTGTACTCAGTAAACAGGATATTTTGATGTTTAGGGAACGGTGTTATTATGTATCAGGGTTTCTAGTGGATGCTTTACCTGCTGACTTTTGTTGGAGAGTCACTTTAATAGGCTACCCATAACTGAGGTCTGAGACATAATAAAAGATAACTTTATTGTACACTAAATGCTAACAATGTAAAAAAAAAAATTAAAAAACAAACATTAACAAACATTTTTATGTTAATGTATGTTAAAAAAAGAAATATTCAGCACAACTGTCTGCCAGCATTTACTGTAAGCCTGTTAATAATAAATTATGTCCCGCAATATCGACTAATAACTACTTCCCATAAACAAATAATTTTAAATCGCTACATTTGTAGCCAGTATCATAATCTGAATTCATAAGCATTCCATTAGCAATATTTTCTAGATGTCATGAGTCATAATGAGTCATAATGCATACAAAATTAAAATGCAGATCAAAAAACATTCGTCGGCATTGAGTAATGTCATTGTGTGTGTTTTTATTATTAGTTTATGTGCCAGGCAATACAATTGTGAATGTAGTCCTGTAGCTTTGTAACTGTAGCTAAATGAGGGCTAATCGTATCATCCAACTTACCTAAAAATTGTATGTATATAAAAAATACATCAATTACTTTCTGTGATTCTAATTAGGCATGAGAGAAAAAATGTGAAAGCGTCCTAATATACAGGGTTAAAACTTTTTTCTTTTCTTTTTTCTTTTTTCTTTTTTTTTTACCACATTTTGTTTTTACTGCATCGTCACCATCCACTCAGTATGAATGCACCTACTAAAGCCCACCTTGTTACCTCGAAATCTCCAGTGCTTGAAAAGAAGGCAACAGGACTTCTTTATATTTCTGGACCCAAAGACTACCGTGACATGGATGACCGTACACAGATTTGCCTCAAAATCTAATAAGATTCGTATAAAGAATAACAGAGAAATGCAGAAAATCACATTGAGTTTATGGATAAAGTAATGAAAGGCACTTATAATCCCATTTTCCACTGATTGCCAAAGACAGCAGTGGATAAAATAGTCACAAGACCAAGTCAATACAGCACCTTGTATCTAGGTCTAAGTGTGAATGAGTATGCACAGTGCCAAAGCATGGATGACTTCACATTACATGCAATATTTCAAGATATTTTTGACCTACTTCCTATAAACAAAGATCAGAGAAGAGTATAAAGTAAAGGCAAAGTACAATATCCCACAGCACCACTATCCTTGATGGCTACACCCTATATTCAAGACTTGATCTTCACACTCTAAGTAAGAAAACAAAAAACAGAAAAAACACTTGCAGCCAAAGAACAATCAGAGCACTTGACACAAACAAAGAGACATATGACTTTCTCATACAGCACACAGGTTGCACCAGATAGATAGATAGATAGATAGATAGATAGATAGATAGATAGAACCACTCACTCTCCCGCTCACTCACTCCTGCTTAGATTAAACAAATTTTATAGTAGAGAGCCCACCTTCATGACGCATCCCTCTGTTTGTTAGTCCACTCTGAAACACATGTGCTCTTCCGGATTAGCGAGATGAAAGAGACAGAAAGAGTATGTGTCCGTGTGTGTGAGCTGCAAAATCCGCTGCTTCCTCTCTTCCCTGGGAGTCACAGGGGAGGAGAGTCCATCCCTCTCGGCAGAGAAAATGTATGTGTTGGTGTTTGTAAGTGCACGTGCATATGTGTGTGAAAGAGAATGAAAGAGAGGGAAAGCGCTGCTCCTCCTATCCTCTCCTACAACTGCATGAATGAAAACAAAAAAGGACACACCTCTATCTGTCTATCTATATATAGATCTATCTATCTGTTGAGCTATCTGTCTTCTAGCTTCCTTCTTCACTTTTCTTTCTCTATCCTTTCCTCCTCTCATCCCACCATATCGCATGTTTGCTCACCTCCTTCTCACTCTCCCGCTCCCTCCCCTGTGCTGTCTCACCACCCTCTCTCTCTCTAATAGAAAGCTCAAATTTCTCCACTCTTCCATACAGACCCACAAAACAGGGAGGGAATAGAGAATAAATAGATGTTCGGACTCTCCTCTCTTTTCACTGTACATCCACTTGCCTCTCCTGCTTATATTGTCTCACCTTACCCTGCATTATTGCGATAGTGATAGTGACACCCGCTCTTTCTTTTCTGTGATTAATCTGATTTTTCAGGTCTATTGGTTTTAATACTAATCCAGTTTGTTCAGATATTAAAACAGAATTGCAATACATGATGGAATTGCAGAGGCACAGCATGAAACAAAGTGCAGGCAGTGAGCCTAGTGAAACACAGCCAATGCAACGGAATTGCATTGATTCAAGACATCTCAGTGCAGTTTAGTTCACTGACTGCAAGCAGAAATATGACAAAGTAATGCTATTTTACACTTCTTAGTATGCAAAAGCAATACATCGGCAGCACATTGTAATGCAGAGCAGATCCTGTTCAGATGCAGGGTATAGATAGTAAATCTTTTAAAGTCTGTCTGCCCTGCAGCTGTGTGCTGACAGAGAAGAGCCAACAGGGGGTGCTAGTACGCTTTTTAAGTTGGCGATCATCGCAGTGCAGTAGGCATAAGAAAATAAGAGACAAAGAGAAACAGGGCTTCGTGATTAGAGCTAAATAGAAGATCAACT